AAATGAGGACCCGGATTGTTGTTGGGGGCAATATGCTGACTCTGTAAACCGCTTAGAGAGGGCTGAAAGCCCTATGAAGCGGTATATAAGTCTAACTCCTATTGCTATGGTATAGTGCTATATTAATGCAATATCAGGTTTTCAATTTTAATTATATAGAATGTGAAGGATGTGTGTTTGTGTTTTTATTTGTATAGTCATAATGTACACTGAAGGCGGCATTTAATTTCGTTGTATGGCTAAACCAAGCTAAGCTAAGGTAAGCTAAACTCATGGGATTTCTTGCTTTCTCTTATAGGGTGATCAACTTTTGCTTTTGGAATTCCTTTTTAAAAAACAACAACAGCAGAATAAAGGAAACTGAAGGGAAAAATATTATCACTCAAATGAAGATTTTTTTTAACATGAACTTCTGGCACTAAACAATTATGCAAACAAATAATAAGGAAGTTGAGATGGGTGGGATCCCTGGATTCATAAGCACATTGCTAAAACCAAAACAAGTTATGAGGAAAAAAAAACCTTTGAAGTAATGAGCAATACATTTTAGAGCGTATTGATAAATAAAAAAATGAGCGAGGCCTTCCCCATAGAGCTCTTAAAATGAAGTCGCTGAAGTTTTAGCAAAAGCGTATAACTTTCCCTAAAATTGGCTGGTGTATTTTTTTTTTAAAGGCCTGGAGATTAGTTTTCTTTTTTAAAAAAAAAAAAATCGATAAGGAAAGAAGGCAAAGGAAGCTAAAAATTACAGCTCCCATTCTAGGTAAATTTGTCGAAAGCATTAGGAAAGATAAAACTACAAGTCGTACGGAAGAATGGATATGGTTTCTGGGAGGCGAGTGTCACCTCCCCAATTTTTTAGAGTTTTTTTTTTTTTAAGGAGTCAACCCGATGGATCTTTTTCAGCTGGATGCTTTAGCCAAACATCTTCATCAAGGAATCCAAAGTCAACCTGCCAATCAAAGGAGAAGACCGTTCCTTTCATAGATGTTGTAAGACTGAGAAAAAGAGAATGAATATAATGCAAATTTTGCCAAAATAGGGATGCCAGAAAATAAAGTCATCAAGATGGAGGGGTATTTGAATAAAGTAGTTGCAAAAAGATCTAGTGATAGACAGCCTAGAGCAACAAAGTGGTTGACTTTGCAAATGATTCCAGATTATTCTGGAATCATCGGGGGGGTGGGGAGAATATGTCAACCAGCCCTCAAAGGGCTCCCAGGTGAGATTCCTTCTCATGGCATGGAAGAACCACCACCTAAGTTATGTTACAGGTCACTTGAATGGTTGTCCACAGTCTGAGGAATATCTTGACCTACCCAACGGGACACCAGGCTTCGTCAAACCAATTAAAGGCCTTGAGGCTGCAACACACAACTTTGCTTTCCTAAATCTGTAAATGTTGTAAGTAAAGGCATTTTTACAAAAAGTGACCGACGTTTGCCGTGTTTTATCTTCCACAGAGACTGGCCCTTAGAACATTGAATATCAGTGTTGGAAGGGACTTTGGAGGTCTTGTAGTCCAACCCCCTGCTCAAGCAGGAGACCCTACACCATTTCAGATAGGTGGCTGTCCAGTCTCTTCTTAAAAGCCTCCAGTGATGGAGCACCCACAACGTCTGAAGACAAGTTGTTCTACTGGTTGGTTGTTTCTCACTGCTAGGGAATTTCTCCTTAGTTCTAGGCTGCATCTCTCTTTGATTAGTTTCCATTTGCCCTGCCCTTGGGTGCTTTGAAGAATAGGTTCTCCCCCTCTCCTTTGTGGCAGCCCTTCAAATATTGAAACACTGCTATCATGTCATTCTTGGTCCTTCTTTTCTTTAGACTAGCTATACCCAGTTTCTGCAACTGTTCTTCCTAGGTTTTCTCTTTCAGACCCCTAAACATCTTTGTTGCTCTTCTCTGCACTTTTTCCAAAGTCTCAAAAAAAACCTTTTTTATAATGTGGTGACCAAAACTGGAACCCAAATGTTCATATTTCAAGTGATGTTTATGTGATGCGCCGATTTTCTCCCATATTGGGACTTGCTTGCACATTTTAAAATAACTGGATATTGAAGCTGGGGAGAAGCTCCTCTTTCTTTCTTTCTTTCTTTCTTTCTTTCTTTCTTTCTTTCTTTCTTTCTTTCTTTCTTCTTTCTTTCTTTCTTTCTTTCCATCTTTCTTTCTTTCTCTCTGTCTGCCTTCCTGCCTGCCTTTCCTTTTCTTCCTTCTTTCTTTTTCCTTCCTTCCTTCCTTCATCTATTTATCTATCTTTCCTTCCTTCCATCCATCCATCCTTCATCTTTCTTTCATTCATTCATTCATTTTTCCTTCCTTCATCTTTCTTTCTTTCTTTCTTTCTTTCTTTTTCCTTCCTTTCTTTCTTTATCTCTCCCTCACTCCTCTTTCTTTCTTTCTTTCTTTCTTTCTTTCTTTCTTTCTTTCTTTCTTTCTTTCTTTCTTTCTTTCT